CAATTCGTGGTCTTTCCTCTGGGCAGAGGAAAAGGGAGAGACAGATACAGCAATGAATGTAAAGTATCGTAAAAATATGATAAAGTTAAAAAAAAATCCAACAAATCTATGCCTTTTTATTTTCTGTTCAGGGTATTGAGAACTTTCCAAAAATTTAAAATAAACCCGGGTAATCACATCTTAGAACTGAAACACAGTTTACCTCTAGCAAATCAAGGAAAAATTTTATTCCACATTAAAATAAAATCCTGAAGCGTAACAATGATGGCTCATCCCCCTACTGTGGGAAAACTTTATTGCATAGTTTGAATCTAAGCCCTATGTGTCTGAGAGACAAGGCTCGTTGCTTAGAGACCAGATTTGTTTAATGCTTAACTCAAGACTGCAAGTTATGCAAACTTCCTTTTCTCCCCCTAAAATAAATAAATAAATAACATTTTAAAAACAAAGCAAAACAAAACACCCTGAAGGGGAGCTAGATCAAAAGATTGATGCAAAGAATGTAAGTTTCCTCCTGTTTATCCATCTCAAGCAACCTATTTATCTGGAAAGTGTCTCCATGCTGGCCAATCAGTAACTGTTTCCTTGTTCCTTTGTTTGAACTCTTACAAAATGTAAAACTTACAGAGAATGGGGAGGGGAGTTTGGAGTGAGGAAGCCATATTTTTTGGCTCTCCTCACTGCTGGAAACTTCTAAGTATTTTCAGTTCTGGGTTTGTTTTCTGCCGATACTATATACACAGTATTCAATAGATAGGAAGAACTTGAGAAAGGACAGTTATGGGGCAGTTCTATTTGAGAACCCTGATGCTTTAGTTATTTATGAATTCTTAAAGCTGAATGAACTTCATTCAGCTCTTTAACTATTAGGATGAGAACTGCAGTGCAATTTGAAAAAAAGCAACCTAAATACATTGGCATAGTTGTATTGCTTGTGAGAAACATCATCTGCCTATCTAGCCTCTTGTCCCTTTTCAGTCTTGTTCAGTGAAAAGAAAACAGTCTGCTCTAAATCTACCTTCCCCCATCCAGGCCAAGTCTATCTTTGGGGACTCAGAACAAGCTGGAAACTTAAATCACTAAAGGCATTCACTATTTTCATTTTAAAAGAGCAATGTGAAAAATGAAATAGCATCCACCAAGGGCAGTTAGCAACTCTGTTTTTTCTAAGAGCAAATACAAACTGTCGTTTGGAAATAAATGCCCCTTGTAACTTGACCTCAATGTATCTTTCTAGGCTAATTATAAATTTGCTCTTCTTGGTCCAGGCAATCTGCTTTTGTTATTGTTCTTCTACATGGTCCTTTATTTCCCATCTCTGTGCTTTTGCAGTTGACATTCCTCACACTTGGAATGTACTCCCTTAGTTTCTTTCAAGACTCAACTTAAGCATTCTACCTGAAACCCTTCCTCATTTCCCCAGCTGCTAGTATCACCCCTCCCACCCTACTTTAATATAATTATATATGTATATGTTAGGGCAGCTAAGTGGCATAGTGGATAGAGTCCTGGGCCTTAAGTTAGGAAGACTCATTCATCTTCCTGAGTTCAAATCTGGCCCCAGACACTTACTAGTTGTGTGACCCTAGGCAAGTCACTAACCCTGTTTGTCTCAGTTTATAATCTATAAAATGAGCTGGGGAAGGAAATGGCAAATCACTCCAGTTTTGCCAAGAAAATCCCAAATAGGGTCACAAAGAATCAGACGCAACCAAAAAGCAACTGAACAACAGTATGTATAGGTTGTCTTTCCTATAAAATGTAAACTCATTGAGGAGATATTTTCACTTTTCTCTTTGTATCCAAAGCATCTAGTGCAATACCTGGCACACAGTAGGCACTTAATAAAAGCCTTGTTGATATATCAATTTAAGCAAATTAAGTTGTGATAATTCAGGAATGTTCTGGATCGAAATTTCCCTTTAGGTGTGTAACCTATGTCTCAATGCCCTTTGGTATGGAACTCTTTTTAACTGTAGAGATGAAGTCCTTTCCCTGATGAGGTGAGGCAGCGCTTGAGAGAGGCAAGAACTTCAGTTCTAAACCAGTCCCCTCTGGAGATTCTCCAAACGAGAGAGTCTTCAGTCAAGTTGGCTTTTTGCTCCCAACTTCGAGAGAGAAGATGGAGGACAACCCCACTTACAGTTGCTGAAGGAAAAGACTCTGGGAAGACATGGTAGGAGTGGGCAGTCTCCTTTATGTCTCTATTCTTAGCTAGTTACTGCAGAGACTTTGGTAAGTTTCTCCTTGGGTGAGATCTGGGACACTCAGTTGAGCTGTTATCTTATCTCAGTGGGAGAGCTCTTTCACTCTATACTGTCTGATATATATTCTCCTATGTATACCTTCTCTGATTTCTGTTTTGCTATGATTTGGATAAATGAATTTCTTTGCTTTTCTGTTCTCTATGTGTGTTCATTGTGACACTGGTATTTGGTGGGGAAGGGGTCAAGACTTGGATATAGAGCTTGAGGTTTTCCCTTCCCCACAAAATGACAAAGCAATAAAGAGTTAGATGGAACCTGAGCAAATCCCCTAGATGAACTATAAGGGAGCAGATATTCTTCTAGCCCTGTGCCCCCTCTATCTGAGGACAGAGACGTGGTGGCCTCTGGCCATAAACTCTAGGTGGGAATAACAATCTCTCTTGGAGAAGGGTAGGGGAGAAGAAGCTGGAAATATTTATTCTGTCTCCCTTTGAGCCAAAGAAGGACATTATCATCCTCCCCATGGGTGGGGGATGCTACGCATGTGGGCCCCACATTCCCTACAGGTGCTAAACTCTTTCTTCAGAAGTTTTATTTCTTAAAACTAGGTTCTGGGGCAGCTAGGTGGCATAATTGATAGATCACTGGCCCTAGAGTCAGGAAGACCTGAGTTCAAATCCAACCTCAGATATTTACTAGCTGTGTGACCCTGGGCAAGTCACTTAACCCTATCTCCAAAAAACAGGTTTTTAGAACTTACTATTTATGCCTTGAAATAAAACTATTATTTCTTGAAATCTAGCTGGCCTTCTAGGAAGAGTTAAGGGTACCAGATGGACAGTCTGAGAGCTGCATTGCTATTTATGAAATATAAATGAAATCTAGAAGGCAGCCTTCATTCCACATACTGGATAGATCCTCTATGGAAGGACTAAAGGAGAATATGGACAAGAATTACATAGATTGGGGCAGCTAGGTGATGAAGTGAATAGAGCACCAGCCCTGGTTTCAGGAGGACCTGAGTTCAAATCCGACCTCAGACACATAACACTTACTAGCTGTGTGACCCTAGGCAAGTCACTTAACTCCATTGCTGAGCTAAAAAAAAAAAATTACATAGATTGAGGTATGGATGAGTTGCCATTTGAACAAATGGAAGGGGTACCCACATAGATGAGATCATAGATTCCATTAAGATTATTTTATGATTCACCCTTTACTGATTCAGGCTGGCCTTGCTGTTTAGCCCAAATTAATGGAACTTAAAACAAATGCACACAAATTCCTGAGGATTTGGTTTTAGGAGTACTTGTATATTGGTTGTATGAACAATGAGTGAGTAAATGAATAGAGCATTTATTAAGTGCTTACTATATGCAAAGCACTGGGAATACAAATAGAAAAGCAACATAATCCCTGCTTTCCCATTCTAATGGGAAACCCAATATATATGGAAGGTTTTAGCTACAAATCATATGTAAAAGTCCCATGGTCCTTAGGATGCAGTGTCAAAGCAGATAGTATTGCTTCTTCTTTAAAGTTATTTACAATGATAAAGTCACATCATATCACATCATAAAAAAATGATATCTTACTTTACTGAAACATTTTATGTTGCTGTAGAATTCACATCTTAATTTAGGACCATAAATTGAAAGACAACAGTTTTTGATGTAAAGTGTTATATATAGAATAATGGGATGAGTGTCTTTGACCTCACTGTCTGATTTTATGTTATGTAATTATTTTTACTTATTTGTTTAATTTTAAATATTTTATATGGATTATTAGGAGGATCTTTTAACCTTAAAAAAAACTTTCCAGAATACAAAAATTTTGCTTGTTAAAGGTGTTGGAATATTTTAATTTCACAAATCCAGTACAATGATATTAATTAGCATGAGTACTGCACTTCCAAGACATGATAAACTTAATGGGTTTATATACAAAATCTGAAATAAGCACTGAAATAAAATACTTAAAATGACCACCAGGATCATGGAAACCAAAGAGTAGTTAATACCATCATAGCACACCAAGTAAAATAGCAAAAGGAAACAAGCAAAAAGCACTTTAGCTTTTCTCATTAAAATTATGTTGTACTCTTAATTCTCAAAACACACATTAATATTTATCTTCCTAAATGAGTTAATGGAGACACTGTGGACACCTATTTTTTCTTTATCAGGTTAAGAAAATAAAAGCAGGCATTTGAAAAAAAAATTACTAAGTATAAATTACCAAGTCTAGAAACATTTTAAAATCAAGCAATGACAATAAAACTTCACATGCTGCAATTCCTACCCCCAAGGAATTTGTTTGTCTGTGGATACAATATTTCTTTCATTCCTGGGAGATGTATAAAACCACTTAAATCTCAGTTTCCTAAAGGGGAAAACTAAGACTGGAGAGGTTAAATGTATTTCTCAAATATAGCAATTTAGGGACTAATCTCACTATTAAATACTCTCAAAGACTTCTGACTTCAAGCTCCAAAGAAACACTCCAGATTCTATTTTCACTTGAGTATCTACTTCACTGAATAGAGACCTTAGATCAATTCCCAGGATACAAAAGTAAAACATGATGCAGTTTAAAAAAAGTACTTAGATGGATTACAGATTTTTTTTTTTAATTTTAAAGGAACACTTATTACAAATAGTTAATACAGCACAAGCAACTCTCACAACACATTTATCACCATATCATCACTGTCAAAATAATAGCTTCCTGGCATATGAGGAGATAATGCTCATTTCATGCATCAAAATGAAAAGAACCCTTTGTCTTTAATCTGCCTTGTCCATCTTACTATTTCCATTTTTCTTAACTTCAGCTCTTTCCAACTCCATAGTTTAGGCTCCTGGCTTTCACATTCATCTGTATCGTCTGTTCATTGGTATCCTATTCAGCAGAGTTCTATAAAAATGGGGGAAAGATCATTAAAAAAAAGATTAGGAAGACTGGTTCCCAAAATTATTACATTAGCCAAATTTTTCTTCCAGATGTAGACATCTATAGCCAATATTAAATAAAAACTCAAATTTGTTAACTTCTAAATTTAAGTTGGCAATTAAAAATGAAATTTCATTATCCAGTTTCCATTTATCCCAGTAAATAAGTGTACAAATCACATCTCCTAAAGTTTATTTTATTATAATAGATCCCACTGAGAAGCTATGGATTCAGCCAGCAGAGACAACACTGAATATAGATGTGGGAACACTGTTGCCCAGAGCATGGCTAAAAGAGAAATCAGAGAAGAACAAGTATCCATTGATATAAATGGGCAGTGACAGGGTACCATCATTCCTTCATGTGGGCATAGACAATGTTTGGTAGGTTGAGTCACAAGTTGAATCTAAATAGAGTAGTCTTAAAAGTATTCTTATTAGCAACTGCTGCCCCTAGCAACCTTATTACCTCAGAGCAACTTTCCCTATCCCTATCTAGTCCCAACAGACAGTTAAACAAGGTCCCAAAATTTTTCTCATGAAGACAAAGACAAAGCTTTCCCCTGGACCAGTAAACAAGGTCCTGGCCCAGAAGTCTTACTGTCTCACAGGAAGACTAATGGAGCTAGACCATAGACTATTATAGAGGTAGAGAGTTCCTCAGGGTTTCCAGACTCACATGGACTCTCACTGTCAAAATACACTGCGTTACAACCTCCTCACAAGCTTACAAAGGGGTATGCAGAATTGAAAAGGGAGTAACTCTGTTGATCAGTGCCTTGTACAAAGAACATAGTAGGAGCTCAATAAATATTTATAGAATTTAATTAAGTTGGGCCATCAATATCAAAAGTCCTTAACACAGCATGAAGCTAATTCCATTAGGGTCACATGACTATTTGAAGTTTGTTGCTAGATTTATTCCTTAAGTCCCTAGCCAGACTTCCTTGCTCTTGGATTCTTGGATTCCTTGATATAAATTTGTGGCAGGTAGGTTTATTCTAACCTTGCTTTCAAGAGCCCTAAGACATTTGTCAAACGCAAAGAAGCTTGCCACAAACAAATTATTTCATTTAACTATACGGTCTGGGTCAATTTCTGTATTTTGTAGATCTCAGACTGCTCCCTAGCTGGGATCCAAGCACTTTACTCTGTAAGACCCAGTCAAATACAAAGCTGAAAAAGGCTTCAGCAGAAGTTCTTTTGCCCATACCAAATGATACAGCCCTCATCAACCCCTGCAAAATTATTTACCTTAATTTCACAGGCATAGTTCCTTCAGGATAGACTCCAAATGTTGTCTATCATACCCAAAATGGGAACTTTTGATTTCCCCCCAAATTATAGCACCATTATACTTGCTAGATGTCTCTGTAAAATCCTGTGCTATTTTCCTCAACAAATTGGATCTTTTCATCTACTATTTTCTCCAGTAGCAAGCAAGTCTCAACCATAAATATTCAACTACTGATCACTGCTATATGCTGTTCTATCTCTAGAGGGAAAATCAAATAACTGCAGAAGACTTATAATTCTTTATTATTCTTTCATCAGTCTTTGACTCTATGGATAGGAAATAGCTATTAGACAAACAAAACTATGTGGAACTGGAGTTATTATTGCTTCTTTGAAGCCTGAAGCATTCTATTGCTAAAATCTGAATGGACAGGAATTGATGACATAAAATTAGAATCTTAAAATGTACAAAAACAGCTGTATCTCCTTCCTTTTAACTTATAATGTGATACATTCTGAGATACAGTGATCTATGTATGTATTACTATTGTAGAAAAAGGAAGACAGACATTACTAATGCAGATGACAATTTTAGGTTTAACTAGAAATGGACTTAAGAAATAGTTGTACCTGTTGGCTAAGCATCAACTATATTAAAACTAAAAAGTATTGGTATACAGGGCTAGACTGGTTTATCTTTGAGGTCATTTCAAGGTCTAACTTACTATTTAAAGGAACAATACTAAATAAGCAAAACCTTTATTTAGGTCAATTCATTATGCTAATTTATCTTGGTGGACCCACTGAGGTGCAATTCTACTTAAAAATCAGATACTGTACAGAGGCTGTCCTGAGATTCTTTTATGATTGAGATGGAGGATCATTAATACTTGCCCTTACCCATAAAATGGAAGCAGATAGCAGAATGGGTTAAAAACCATAATCCTACAATATGTTGTTTACAAGAAACACATTTGAAACAGGGATACACACAGAGTAAAGGTAAAAGACTGGAGTAGAATATATCATGCTTCAGCTGAAGTAAAAAAAGCAGGGGTAGCAATCCTGACCTCAGACAAAGCAAAAGCAAAAATGAGCTAATTAAAGAGATAAGGAAAGAAACTACATCGTGCTAAAAGGCACCATAGACAATGAAGTAATATCATTACTAAACAGATAGGCACCAAGTGCTATAGCATCCAAAACCTTAGAGGAGAAGTTAAGGGAGCTACATGAAGAAATAAACAGCTAAACTATACTGGGGGAGATCTCAACCCTCTCTGAACTAGATAAATCTAACCAGAAAACAAATAAGAAGTTAAGGAGATAAACGGAATTTTAGAAAAGTTAGATATGGTAGATCTCTGGAAAATATTGAATGGGGATAGAAAGAAATATACATTTTTCTCACAAAAACTGACCATGTACTAGGGCATTAAAAAACATAACCTTAAACCTTTTCAGGACTCAAAATTCTGTAGCAGGTTAGATACTGTCATAGTACTTGGACATTTCAACTACTAAATATTGTCTATGTGATGGAGCAGATTCAAAGCTGCCTTTTGAGGAAAAACACCAATTAATTAATTAATAAATAAATAAAAATTAAAGGCCTACTATGTGCCAACTACTGTGCTAAACATCGGGAATACAAAAAGAGGCAACAGGCAGTCCCTGCCATCAAGGAGCTTACAATCTAATGGGGGAGACATAAACAAATACACACAAAATAAGCTATATACAGGATAAATAGGGAATAATTAACAGAGAGAAGTCACTAGATTTAAGGAAGGTTGGAGAAGGCTTCCAATAAAAGTAATTTCCAATAAAAGGCTTCCAATAAAAGTAACCCCACACAGAACAGGGGAGGGAGGACAGTCAGAGAGAATGCCAGGGGCCAAGAGATAGTCTCATTCATGGAAGAGGCCAATGTTACTGGACTGGAGAATAAGTGTTCTGGGAGTAAGGTGTAAGAAGACTGGAAAGGCAGGCGAAGGCTAAATCATGAAGGGCTTTGAATGCCAAGCTGAGCACTTTGTATTTGTATTTAATTTTATCCACAGGTACGCCTGTATTCCACCTCTGCATGGAAGTGGGCTGTTACTTTGCTTCAACCAACTGCAAGTTACACTCCAAAACCTTCATAACAGAATATTTCTACTGCGTTTGGCACAGCTGATTTCCAAAGCATATGGATCCTTCATTAATTAGCAGCACAGAATATTATCACTTCAGGAACTCATTATGAATTGATTGTAATCCTGTCCTTATCAACAGTTCCTTAGAGATGTCTGGTATTTGAAAGAGACAGTTTAACAGAAAAATTAACTCTCCTTTACTCTATACCAATGTTGTCAAATTCAAATAGAAACAGGGCTACTCAGTCTAAAAATAAGGAGCTTTGTGAGCTATATATTGACTTAGAAAACAGCATATTAATATCATCTGTTTTATTATATTTTGTTAAATATTTCCCAATTACATTTTAATCTGGTTTAGGTCACACTAGGGAATGCGGTGGGTTGCATATTTGCTATCTTTGCCTTAGGCTCTCCAAACTGAATTAATTTGGCTCATCAGAAAGTAATATACCTAGACCACATTTGCTCAGCTGAGGACAGAAATGCCATGCCTTCAGCTTTTATAGAGAGTTGATATAAGAAGTGTCAATTTCAATTTGTGTCTTCTGTAAAACCACTGCTGTTATCCAATGTCCCTGAAATAAGGATCCATGTGACAAACGGTTTTCCTTGAAATTCAACATCAGGAAAAAGACTCTCTCCAAACGAACTTGCATCATTTCTTTTAATCAGACAGTAAGAAATATATAAGTCAACATGTATACCTTTTTATTTTAGCTGCCAGGATACTCAGAGCTAAATTTAGTGTTCAATTTCAGTAATGAACCAATTTCAGGTAGCTGGTAATATTTGCTCATTCTATTTGGTTTTGTTATGTGCTTTTCTTACGTGTTTTTTGTTTTGTTATGTGCTTTAGAAAATTTAGGTTGTTCTGTTTTACAAGCTGCCTCAAATCTTCTAGGAAGAGGGTAAGGTATGAATTACTAAAAAGTTTATTCTCATATGTTTAATGATTATTCATGTATAGCCCATACCAGATTGCTTACTGTCTTGGGAAGGGGAGGAGGGAGAGAGAAAAAAATTCAGAACTCAAAATCTTATAAAAGTGAATGTTGAAAACTATCTTTATATGTAATTGGAAAAAACAAAATACTATTAAGTGGGAAAAAATAAAAAAGGGTATTTCACATAAAAAAATAAAAATGTGACTCATGATAAAGTTTTAAAAAAAATGGGATGTAACATTCAACTTGTATTAATCAATAACCTTACATCTTATCAGACTAGTCAAAAGCCCCACACTGCAGTCTTTCTCTGATACCTCACTGGCATGGGAATGAGAAGGTGAAGGGGGATCTAGAAAGTAAACTAGGAGAATGCAAGCTCTATAAAGTCGAACCAGCTTTGCCTATGGGCTACTTATGGACCACCACCTTAGAACCAGCTCATCTAAAGACCAGACTGGTTGAATTCAGAGAGGCTCATCATTAGGGGATGCAAAGAAGTACAGGACATGGTTCCAGATTTCCAGAACCTTAAAATGATGTATCTAAATCTTTACAATATAAAGAAGATGATTTCCAGCCAAGACAGCTACCTGAAATAGGAGGCAGCCTCCACCCCAGCCTCAACATATCCACTCCAGCGAAACACTGACATTCACACCAGACCAAATAATAGTCAAGAATTCTAGTGAAAAACTATAGTAAAAAGCTGAATAGTAGTAGATTTTATTAGTTGTGTTTTTTCCTCCATTTACATAATATTCTTCCTAAGTAGATTTCTGAATGAAGAGATATGTGTATATTTTATAAATATATAGTATACAAATACATATAAAACATACATATATGTATGTATACATTTATATATACATATGTGTACGTGAGTGTATACCTATATATATACTAAATCTACAGATTACCAATACAAATATCTTTATTTCAGGCTTGATGAAACCGTGGTCCATTGTTGATGAAACTTGCCATTGTCAATCACTTCCCAGTAATAAGTTCAATAAACCACTGTACCTCTTCTGTACTTTGTTACTGCCTGCAGTAGTTTCTCAGCTCTCATACTACACTGTTTTTGTACTAATGTGTGGATGATCTGAGTTCCCCCACTCCTATAAAGGCTTGATAACCTGTAATGAGCTATATGAAATCTGTGTTTACCAGGATCTACCTAGGGCAGTCCTATGGGCTTGGTTCTCTTGGCAGCCTACCCCATAGCAAGGATATAATTGTTCTGCTCTTCTTTTTATGAAAGACATGTTTAATTTAAATATTTTAAAATGGACTTTTCCCACAGACGTTGATTATTTTTTCCAATTCTTAAATAAAACGAGATGTTCTTGATGTCATAAAAGTAACAATGAAAAACTATCCATTGCTAACATGGCTTCCCTTTACCATCATCTGCCTAAGATACTCATCTCAACTACATTGCTTCAATGAGAAAATTTACTCCAAATGAAGCCCCTCAAATGAATGCTCAGTCAGTGTGAGGGCTCCAATAATTATAAGGTATAAATACAAACTGGTCATTTCCCTACCCTTTTTCCTTCAGTTAGTTTAGGGGAAAGGACAAAGGAGATAGTATCAAGTAAAAGTTTACACAGCTTTAGAGACCTGCAGGGATCTCTCTATTCTTTACAAGCGGCAGAGGCCAGAGCTGATGGAAGAGCAAAGAACCATGGAGGATATTTAGCTTCTGTCTAGGGAAGAGCAAAGGATTGGTATTTTCCCTGCTCTGAGTGCCCCCTTGTGGTTAAGCATCACAAGAGTCTTTTTAATGTAATCACTATTAAGCCCGGCCATTCTCTTACATGGCTGCCCAAGTGCAGAAAATTCTACTTCAATATCTGTATGTAGTCCTCCCTAGTTCTATCAACATGCCTGGCTGAGAAGGTGCCAAATGAGGGTTTTTTTTGGTCAGTATGGCTCAATAGTATCCATTAAGACCTGATGGAGTATTCAAATATTATGTCTCCATATCTTTAGATATGCATTGTTTTAGATACCTATGTTAATTAAATCTAATCTATTAGTGGAGCTTCGGGACAACTGCAAGCTTATTTTTTTTCCTTTTAGTTATGCTCACTCTTTGGTTAAGGCAGCTTACTTTATAAGCACACCAAAACAAATGCTTTCATAATTTAAAAAATTACATTTTTCCAAAAGTAGCTTCATCTAATTGATTTTCAGAAATGGTAATTCATTATAAAAAATAATCAAGGCTGTGTAATGTGAAGTTTTAGGTTTTCTCAGTGTCAGCATGGACTACGAGGGACCTGGAAGACCTAAAATTGTATTATTTTAGCTAGGCTTGGCAATGACATATAGTCTATCTACAATTCAATTCAGTAAGGATTTATTTAAATGCCTTCTATTTGGAAGGCACTCTGCTAGAAGTGAGTAATACAAAGACTAAAATGAACAGTCCCAGACCTAAAATTATACTCTATTAAAAGGATTATCCTGAAGGTGCAATCTTAATCTATCACAAAGAGCAAATTTTAAATGAAACAATGAAGAATTGTCTAACAGGTATAAACCACAAATGCCTTATTCAGGAACAAAACCATACATACACAAAACTTTTCACAAAGTTAATTTCTATCAGAAGTTTGAAGAGCATTTACCTGTACGAAGTTGTGATGAAAACTTCAACCAAGGTGACTGAAAGGAAACAAGATAAAAAGTTTTCATATTTTCTGACTTCTGATTTTAAAAATTAATCATTTTTATGAGTTGTACCATTTAACTCCTACAAAAACTTTGTACTATCAACTATCTCCTTATCCATGTTCTATTTGCCACCCCCTTCCAATTTCACCAAACTAAGTGACATCAAATATAGCTATCTCAGAACCACCACATGATCCGCTCAGCTGCCAGGAAATCCATTTAGGAAAGTTGTCTGTCTTCTACTAAATTAGCTCAAGGAAAGAGACTGCTTAGACCAAAACAATAACATAATCATGTTACCATTTCTCTAAATAGGAATCAAAAAATATCTTTTATCTTCTTTCGAAAACAACAACAAAACTCCAATTATTTGCAATTTTGGCAGGGTTTTTTGGCTGAAATAAGCATTTATCTCCTATCCTTGTATTGCCTACTACTATTATTGAAACCTAACAGGCAGAAAAGACTGATAATCAACAGGGGAAGATGCATGTTTCTTTGAATTTTGCTTATGTGGCTTTTCTTACGTACGACATAGAAACACCAAATAAAAAACAATTGCTGTGCAGCAGGATGGATGAAAGTCGAATCAAAATACAAGGGCCTTCTGAAACATTGCAGAGACCACGGCCACCAGCTTATGGGAAACAACAGCAACCAGGCTAGATGGTGGGGTGAACGGAATGAAATTGCATGGGCCACATAAGAAATCAGTTTGATATCTCTTCTGATACACCTCATATCTTTTTCAGTTATACCTCATATTACACAGGAAGGTCGGTAAGTCACAATTAGGCCATAATCAGGCACATGGGTTCAAACAATTATTTGCACCACCGATATCTAAACATAAAATAATATAGGTGATAACACCTTTATATATCCTTTTTCCTTTAATTTCAGAAGTACCTTCATCCATGTTTTCTCTGGACTGAATGACTATTCTCACAACATTCCTGTGAGGTAGGCTGGGACAGACATATTATTCCCATTACCCAGATAAGGACACTGAAGCACACAGATCTTAAGTGACTGCCCAGAAGTAACAAGGCTAGTAAGGGCAAAATTGGGCATATAACTCAAGTAACCAGACTGGTCTAATGGTCTTTACATCAAACTACTTAAAATCACTATTGAATAATACTCACCTAAATATGAGTGTGTTCATAAAATCAGGAAAGTATCTAGCATAACAACTTATACATAATAGATGCCTAATAAACGTTTATTGTTGAATGAATGAAAGCAGATGGAAGAATTCACATGCAGCAAACACTATTCATCTGCAGATACTTTTACTGTCCAGTCATCTCTTGATTTCTTAGCCTCTTGTCTTAGGAGCTTCCCCAGGGTCCCTCTGTATCTTCCTCCATTTCCCCCTTCAGAATTTCCATATCTATTTTCTCAGCCACTAACCTGTTCTTTTACCTTGGATTAGACCATATACATGTATTTTTTTAATTGGACTGAATTTTACTTAGCTGATACAGAGTTATACAAATTATGTAAATGGAAATTCATACAACACACATAACCTAATAGTTCTTTGAAATTTATTATTTCAGGTTTCCTTCTAGATTTAACAGGGCTAATTATTTTTTTTCCTTTCAAAATAAAGACAGTATACAAATAGAAAACAAAATATTAAATATGTACATACAGAAACTCATGCTAAAAAACTACATTAGAGTTGTCTTATGCAAGTCGGGTCCTCCTGATGTCTGGAGCTGCGAAGAGGATTGTAACTGCTGTACTGCAGTCTGCTCTTCCTCAGTGAGAGGTGACAACTAGGTAAGAAAGAATACAATATGATCCTTATTTCATATTCTTTAGGCTTCTAAGTTGTACAGTGAGATACACTTTTTAACAGTTTCACTAGTTATACGATCTCAAATTATGGAAGAGAAAGATGAATCAACTAAATATATTACATAAATATATTATAAAAAATATTACATGCCAGTTATTAAAGAGAGAGATTGTATCACATTCATATCTACATCTCTCTCCTTCAGTCTTTTATATTTTTCTTTACAACCCCATAAAGTAAACCCATTTTTAGAAAAGGGCAAATCAGATTTATATGAAAATAATAATGATAACCAATACATATTTAGCACTTTACTATGTGTAAAGTGCTAAGCTGTGCTAAGCACTTCACAATTATTTGATCCTCACAACCCTGGGAAGTAGCTGCTATTATTATCCTCATTTTATAGACAAGAAAACTCAGGTAAGCAGTGGTCAGGTGACTAGCTCAGGCTCACAAAGCTAATGAGTGTTTGAGGCCATATTTGAACTCAGGTCTTCCTGACTCCGGCCCAGCACTCTATTCACTGTGTCACCTAGTCACCTAGGTGAACATGAAAAGAAATCAACAACAACAAAAATGCATTGAGCATATGTACTTTGTACAATGCACTGTCTTAAGCTGGAGGGAGAGGGAATAAGGGGGACAAGTAATTTAATCATTAAAAAAATGTTTCAAGGAATTTATAATCTAGTAGAAAAAAGAAAATTTAAATAATAAGTCAAGATTTAACAAAATAGAACATGAGTAAATGCTGAATGAATTACATAAATAAGTGTTAAAGGAGTTTAGAAGAGGTAAAGGTTACTGTGAGCTATAAAGATTTCACAGAGGAAAATGGACTGAACTGGATTTGGAAGGATGAGTAGAATTTGGACAGCCAGGGAGAAGGAAGGGACACATTTCAGAGTAGATGTTTAAGGTCAGAGTGGAAAGCCATCAGAGAGGTAGAATTTAAAGGAATATTTGACTGAATGAGCTTGTGGGGGGAAGGTAAGAGATGAGGAATCTAAGACAGCATTGGTTTCCAGTCAGGGTAATTGGGCTAATAATGATGCCCTTACATGAAATAAGTCAGGAAGAAGAACAAGTTTTAAGATGAAGTGCTGGAAAGACAGCTTGGTATAGATAGATGCCCAGCAGGCAGTTAAAAATGTGAGTCTAGACACTAGTAGAGAAGTATGGGGTGTGTGTGTGTGTGTGTAAAACACGCATATCTATGTGTGTATGTATATGTATATATATATGTATGCACATATATGTTTTGGGGGTGTACACACACATAAATCTGACTGCAATCGACATAGATGTAAAAACTGCAGCCATGGAAATGGATGAGATTACCAAGGGGGAGAATTCAGAGAAGTGGGTCACGGACAAAGTGAGTCAATAAAGGTATGTGGAGTTAGGAAACCTCAGATGTGGGATTTGGGCCTAGGTTCTCTGACTCCAAATCCATAGCTCTTTCTATTGCACCACATTGCCAACCTAGATCTGAACTCTAGGTCTCCTGACTCCAAGCCTAGGTCTCTATCCATTTCGCCAAAAGGCCTCTCTAGGTCTTTCTCCTGCACATTTCCTAGGGAGAAGCTTTGTAAATTTTATTACTTTAAAGCACAGTAAAGGAACTGACACACCAATAGAAGACTACAGCCAACAGTGAAGATGAAAGCTGTTCCAATCTTTAAGTCTCAGTTTCAAGGAAGGCCCAATTCTTTTAGATTTCCATAATGGAACCAAATAAGATAGGCTAGGCATGAGCTTTGCAGAAATATTTAAAATTACTATTTCCTGTGGTTTTGAAAGAGTTAGATCTTTTAAAGTCAAAGGAGAAAGAACCAGGGGAAAAGGTAACATTGAAGTTGCAGGAGAGTGAAGGGATGTGCTTTGGGAAGGCAGGAAAGGATGAAGTAGGGGATACAAGTAGTGGGGCTAACTTGGAGAAAAAAATAAGCTATCTTTTCTTACTGGACAGAAAGGAAGGAAGAAAAGGTAGAGATAAGAGAGGGGTTTAGGATGTGAAGAATGGTAACTAAAGGAACTCAGTTCAGTTAGCTACAATCTTTCTGCCTGAAGTCACTTGCTGACAGCAGGGGTATAAGGTTTGAGGAAAATGTTTCTTGCAGTCACAGATAAAAGGAACAAAAAGTTCTTCCAAAATTCTGATAACGTTGTTTCTAAAAGAAAGATCAAATCGCTAGTGTTTGGATAACTTGCTTCCCTGTCCCAAAGTACAAACTTAATCCCTTCCCCAAAATGAAGCATAATATACCAAGGGCTAGCTACATATTATCATGGGACCTGAATTTTGAGTGTAAAAAGATGATAATTTGAATTGTGACTTTAAGAAGCCACGGATGTATGTCAAATCAACTGTTGTAACCCTAAGTGCAAAAGTCATTTACATTTTCAGTGAGTGGTTTGTCCTTTCTGTTCTGTGACACAGAGAGCTTAAAATAAGCATTACCTCTAGATCTGCTTGTTGCTCTAGTTGTTGTACCATTTTCATAGTATTATTCAAAGTAGCACGAATACAGTTCATAGACTCTTTCTGTTCAACAGCAACTTGTTCCAATTGGGCACACAAAGTCTTATATCGAGATTTCATCATTGACAATTCCTTTAATAGTGTAAGTGGATTTTCCTGTAACAGATGGAAAACATACACAGAAAGGAGAAACTACATTATGTTTAAATTGAAAATGAATACATTCATGTCACAGTATAGCAAATCTTTAGTCAGTTAAACTGGCATTTATTCGCTACCAAATATATTCAAGATATTATTTAGATATACTTTGTTCCCCTCAATGTGAGAGGCCCTGACTTCAAAACAGTTATAATGTAGCTTGGTATATACATGTGTATATACATATACACACAGCCATATACAAATGTATCTACGTATAAAATCATACACACATAAAAACATAAGTTCTAAAGTTCTATTTGAATGAAGAATTATACTTAAAAAGTCACTAAACAGAAGCAAACCTTTTGACCCACACTGCTACTAGACATATACTCAAAGGAGGCTAAAGAACGAGAGAAAGATCTCTTATATACAAAAATATTTTAGGTCAGTGACTTGCATAATAGCAAAAATCTGGAAGGAAAAGTAGGTATTCACTGATTGGAAAATGACTGAATATAATGGGTCATATAAATGTAAAGGAAAAATACTATGGTACAATAAGAAATGGCAATTATGAAGCATACAGAGAAACCCTGTGAGATTTATATGAACTGACCCAGAGTGAAATAAGTAGACCCAGAAAAACATTTTCCACAATCATCACAATAATGTAGAGAAAAACAACAGTAAAAGATTTTAGAGTGCCAGTAAATGCAGTGATGACAAATTATGACTTCAGAAGACTTGATAGTAAAAGATGCCTCTTCTCTATCAGCAAAGAGTTAATGAACAATAGGTGCAGAATGCAGCAAGCAATTTCAGATATGACCAAAGTGTTGATCAGTTTGCTTGTCTGTATTTATTTGTTACAAGGGACGGTTCTATTTTGGGGAGAGGGATTGCCATTGGGAAGTCATAGCGATGTTTAAAAGAAATCAGCATCCATAAAACATATTTAAAAATTCATTTATCACCTCAAAAAAAAGTTCATTTGAGGGCATACTTCATGCTACTTGTCACAAGTCAATTTTCTGCTTTTTTTTTTGCAAGTGTGCTTGTGAATTGCTAGTTACAGCTTTGCGGTCGTTTTATTAAGTCTTTGTCAATTCCCTATATAAGCAGTCCCAAACTGTGAATCTCCTGAGCTTCTGGTCCCAACCACCTGCTACCCTGTTCTGGTAGACTACTTTACCTTCTACTTCATGAAGGAACTTGAAAACCTCTCAGTTTTCTCTCCTTATGGCCTCAGGATGTTCATTTCTATGTCAGTACTACCATTCCTTCCTTCTAGCTCAGAGGAATTGATTTTTTTTTCTCCTTTCATTAGCAAATTTCATCATTCTTATAATTCTTCCCCATCTCTGATACTTTAATCATCCTTCTTCTTTAGAATATTCTCAGTTCAAATATAGCCTCAGGCACTTATTAGGGCTATGTGATCCTGGGCAAGTCTCTTACTCTCTGCTTACTTCAGTTTCTTCAAACGTAAAATAGGAGTAATAATGGTATCACCTACTCCCCAGGGTTATTGTGAGGATCAAATGAGATAAGATTTATAAAGCACTTAGTACAGTGCCTGACCCATAGTAGGTTCTTAATGCTGATTTCCTTCCTTCCTTGCCCTTAGCTTCAACTGGGATTAATATCAAACCACCATCATAGATAACATTTATATAGAACATTAAAAACTTGCAAAGCACCTTATCCATGTTATCTGATGTGAGTCTGAGAACCACTCTGTGAGAGACATCACCTCATAATTATCAGACTGGCTAAGATGATAAAAAAGGAAAATGACAAATGCTGGAGGGGTTGTCAGAAAACAGGCACACTGATGTACTGTTAGTGGAGCTGTTATTAGTCCAACCATTCTGTAAAGCAGTTTGGAACTATGTCCCAAAAGCTATTAAACTGAAAACCCTTTAGGCCAGCACTACTGCTACCATGTCTATAACCCAAAGAGATCTAATAAAGAGGAAAAGGACCCATGTATACAAAAAAGATTTGTAGCAGCTCTTTTGTGGTGGCAAAGAATTGGAAACTAAGGGGATACCTATCAATTATGTAATGGCTGAACAAGTTAACAGTAAATGAATGTGATGGAATACTATTACTGTGTTTTAAGAAATGATGAAGGGGATGATTTCAGAAAAACCTGGAAGACTTATATGAATGGAAAGTGAAGTGAGCAGAACCAGGAGAACAATTTATACAGTAACAGCAATATTGTAAAGATAATCAACTTTGTAAGACTTAGGAACTCTGATCAACACAAGACCAATCAAAAATCCAAAGGACTCATGAAGAAACATGCTAGCCACCTCCATATTTTCTCTCTCTCTCTCTCTTTTATTTTTTTGGACGTGGCTAATGCGGGAAATTTGTCTCGCATGACTATTTGTATTTGTAATCAGTTTTGTTTTTCTTGCCTTATCAATGGCTGGAGGAGGGAGAGAATTCAGAACTAAAAACAAAACTGAATTAAAAAACAATAATAAAAAGAATTAAGCCTTTAGATATGTCCAAAGTTGGGGTAGGAAGCAGAGCATTGAAAGAAACAAAAGGAAGTTAGAAAAACAGAATAGTGTAGTGTCATAAAAACCAAGGCAAGAAAAAGTTTTAAGAAAGAGAGTGATACAACAATATCTAAATGCAACAGAAGTCAAAGAAAATAAGAATAGAGAAAAGTACATTGGATATAGCAATCAGCCAACTTTGCCTTTACAAAAAAAAAAGCAGTTTCAGTATAATGGTAAGGCTAGAAGCCATGTTAGATACCTTAAAGAAATGTGGCTTTCTCCATCATTTTATTTCTGTATGGAAGCTAGATTTTTACTGTACAGCAGTAAAATTTTGTGAAGAAACAGAATTCCCTAAATGCATTATGTTCAAAAAATTTTGTGAAATAGCTATTTGGAACTTAGAACACAGTACAAATGGTAGTTAAATTCCCAGATTATATCATGAAAACCTGTTTAACTCATAATGTAATTGAAATACTATACTTTTTTAACGAATATTTTAAAATATTTTATTTTTTTGAATTACATGTAAAAACAATTGTTAACATTCAGTTTTTTAAAAATTTGAGTTCCAAGTTCTTTCCCTTTCTCCCCTTCCCCTCATTGAGAAGGCAAGAAATTTGATATAGGTTGTACATATGCAGTCATGCAAAACATTTTTGCATTAGTCATGTCCTGAAAGAAGACACAGACCAAAAAAAAGAAAGTTTTAAAAAAGTATGCTTTGATCTGCATTCAGACTCCATCAGTTCTTTCTCTGGAGATGGAAAGCATTTTTCATCATAAGTCCTTAGATCATTTTATTTCTGAGAATAGCTAAGTCATTCACAGTTGATCACTGTACAATATTGCTGTTACTATATACACTGTTCTGGTTCTGATCACTTCACTTTGCATCAGTTCATGTAAGTCTTTTCAGGTTTTTCTGAAAGCATCCTGCTTTTCATATCTTAGAACATAATGAAATAATCTACACTTTCAGTGGAGATTAGTAGGGGAAAATATGGTTGCTATACTAGTAATTAAATAAAACTGCAAATGAACATTGTTTTTTACTTAAATGCCGATGCCTGAGAGTTTTAAAAATAAATTTTATTGATATCATTTTTACATCACCTATAGTCCCCACTGTATCTCCCCTTTCTCATTCCTAGAGAGCCACTTCTTATAATAAAGTATGAAAAAAGGAAGCAAGAAAAAACTTCACAAAAGTAAACAACATATTTTTAATAGTCTGACATTATACACAGTATTCTATAACCATGGTTACCCACTTCTGCAAAGGAGCCAGGCTGGGAGTTAGGGGCAATTAGAGAGGAAGGAGAAAGTTGATTTAATTAGATCTGGATGGATGAAATAGCTGGAGAGAGTTTTGTGGAGATTCTGAAGAGGTCTTTTGGATATGTTCAAGAGCCTCTCATGCTAATGGAACTAATTTTTTTTAATCTTGTCTAATTTCACTTGAGAATATATAGCTTTTTTTCCCTTTGATCCAGTTGTGTCATTAACACTACTCTTTACACTTAACAGCTCTTTGGGGATAATGTTTTAGCTCATGAATGCAATGAAGAGAAGATAGAATAATGGAGAGATTTTCCTGACATAACAGGGCAAGAGGCAGGAGAGAAGGAACAAAAAGATGTGTGTCTATGAATGGGAATAAAATTGCTTAAGTAAGGTGGCATTAGTTTATCAGTGAAAGAAAAGGCGGAAACATTGAATACATACCAACTCTCTTAGAAGAAAGAAGGTGGTAGGAAAGATAGGATGGACCAGATCACTCAACTTAAGAGTTAGAGGAAACTTTAGAAGATCATCTTATCCAATTTCATTTTATAGATGAAGAAACAGCCCCAGAGAGATGAACTGCCCAGTTGTATAGGTAATAAGTAATAGAGTTTATATTTAAATTCAGATCCTCTGATTTCAAATCCAGTGTTTTTTCCACTATAATACACAGCCTTCCCCATATAAATTATGAGGAGCTACCACTGAACTAAGACAACTAGATTATGAATTAGGGAGAGTCACAAGAAAGACAAGAAAGGGAGCAGGGAAGAAAAATCAGGCCTACTGAATTCTAAGAATTCTTATGGGCACTTGCTTTCTAAAAATCTCAAGTCTTGTCCATCTCAGAGATTACATTTCTAATCCCTTTTATTTGTGCAGTGAAGTGTATAATTCTTTTTTTTTTTCCATTTTTTTTTTTTTTAGGCAATTGGAGTTAAGTAACTTGCCCAGGGTCACACAGCTACTAAGTGTCAAGTGTTTGGTCTGAGGCCAGATTTGAACTCAGGTCCTCCTGACTTTAGGACCGGTGCTCTATCCACTGCGCCACCTAGCTGCCCTGAAGTGTACAATTCAGTACTCATGAATTTTCTTATTTCTAGATATCTCTAGAAAATACTTACATCCTGTCATTCTCCCCTACTAACTATAACTCAAAATCCAAGATTATGTTGAAGGATATAGCTCTAGAATACTGAATTGTTAAAGAAGAAATGGAGTAAAGGATGTTGTCAAAGAAAAGCATGCTTGAAAAAAGAACAAATGCCCTGTGTATCCCACTGGTATTCTCATGATCCTAAGATCATAAATTTAGAGCTGGTAGGGACCTTAGAAAACATCTAAAACCAGAGTTGGGGAACCTGAGGCCTCAAGGCCACATGTGGCCCTCTAGGTCCTCAGGTGCAGCCCTCTGACTGAATCCAAACTTCACAGAACAAATCTCCTTAATAAAAGGATTTGTTCTGTAAAACTTGGACTCAGTCAAAAGGCCACACCCAACAATCTAGAAGGCTACATATGGCTTCAAGGCTGCAGGTTCCCCACCCTTGATCTAAGCCAACCCCCTCATTTTAGAGATGAAGAAACTGAAGCCCAAAGAGTTGAGAGAGATGACTTGCTTGAGATCACATTAGGTAGTAAGTCAGAGACAGGATTAGAAATCTCAGTCCTCTAACTCCAGAATCAGTTCTATGCCACTCAAAGTAAAGTGAAAAATATCCCTGTATGTTAGAATGACCTTTTTTGGAGAACTTACTGGAAGACTCTTACAAAAGGTGACTCTTGAGTAAGATTGAGATTGGCATTTTTGGAAGGAACGTCCACAATTACAGTCTCACAAGATCAAATGGCTTGTTACACTGACAGTATTACCAACAAAATACATGCCATACGACCTGAGAGCCACAAAGTACTATCTTATTTCAAAATATTTTTTAAAAATACATTTATTGTATAGCTTACCTCTCCTGAAGAATCATCAGGAAGACTTTTCTTGACTTCAAATTCCAGCTTGTGTTGAATGTAATCCAGATCAGATTCTGCTTTCTGGAACTAAGACATGCAAAAGTAGACAAAAAGGTATTAATTTATGAAGCATAAACACACAACCAAAATATAGCTTGATAGTTTTATTGTCCATTCCTCCCTTTCCCTTATATTTTTAACTAAGGTCAAAATATTATATATAATTGAAAGGTCAACACAGAAAAACAATGACTGAAAAGATCAAACAATGTGGTATAAGGAGTCACTGTAAGGTTACATATTTTTGTATTTATATATATCCTTTTCCTGTGAACTAGGAAGGAACTCAAAAGTTCCCAAGGAATACTGAAACTATCCAGCTAACTATATGCTGTTTTTGTTGGAACAATACATGGTTAAGAAACAAGCCCTCCCCTCAATCTTTTCAAATTTAAATCATTAAGTTATGCTGTATGTTTAGGGCCTGAAAAAATTTCTGGGCAACATGTTATCAGAACAGATCAACATGAAATATATTATACAAGAGGGGATTATGCTTTCTTTTTGTAAGAGAAAAAAAAGTTTAAAATAAATTGTTCAGATACAGCAAATATTGTATTATCTTTTGAGGTAGAGGGAATGAGAGAGTCATAGAGAAGGAGAAAGCTATTTTCCATTATGAGGACTTAAATAAAATTCAAAATGGATTTAATAACCAATGATACTCTCAAATTATTTGACTGTGGCTTACAACTATTATGTTTTTTTAAATAGTATTTTAATTTTTCTCAATTACATGTCAGGACAATTTTTAGCATTCATTTTTACAAGATTTTGAGCTCCAAATTTTTCTCCCTCCCTCCCCTCTCCTCCCCTCCCCTCTTCCTAAAATAGTAGGCAATATGATATACATTATATATGTGCAATCATGTAAAACGTATTTCCATATTAGTCACACTTGTGAAAAAAGAAACAGATCAAAAGGAAAAAGCAATGAAAAAGAATAAAGTAAGTGAAAAAAGTATGCATCAATCTGCATTCAGAGTCCTTTATCTGGATGTGGATAGCATTTTCCATTATAGTCCTTTGAACTTGTCTTGGATCATTGCGTTGTTGAGAAGAGCTAAGTCATTCATAGTTGATCAACACACAATGTTGCTGATACAATGTACAATGTTTTCCTGGTTCTGCCCACTTCACTTTACATCAGTTCATACAAGTCTTTCCAGGTTTTTTTGAAATCTGCCTGCTTATCATTTCTTATTGCACAATAGTATTCTGTTATATTCATATAGTTCGGCCATCCCCTCAATTGATGGGCATTCCCTCAATTTAAAATATTTTGCCACCACGAAAAGGGTTGCTATAAATATTTTTGCACATGTAAGTCCTTTTTGCTTTCTTGTGATCTCTTTGGGATACAGACTTGGTAGAGGTATTGCTGGATCAAAGGGTATGCACAGTTTGGTTGCCCTTTGGGCATGTTCTAAATTGCTCTCTGGAATGGTTGGATCAGTTCACAACTCTACCAACAGTGCATTAGTGTCCCAATTTTCCCACATTCTCTCCAACATCTGTCATTTTCCTTTTTTGTCATATTAACCAGTCTGATAGGTGTGAATAGACTTACAGCTATCATTAACCAAAAAAGCTGTTACTAACTTGTTCTCTTTTATAAAGACAGCCTAGTGTAATGTTACAATGTAAACAATAAGAAGTCTTAAATGGTTTCATGTTACACTTGTAACCCAACAGTTAAACTTTTGGGTATCAATGGTCTGTATAGTCTGGGAAGGAGACCTACATTGCTGGTAGTGCTCAAAAGGAAAACTACTGCCACTGGGGATGGAGAAACGTTCAATAACTTAATGGAGAAAAAATTCACAAGGTAACAGAAGTGAATGTTGTTCCTATAACAAGTAGCAAAGACCTAGAAATAAAGTGTGTACCCATTAACTGGGAAAGAGCTAAACAAGCTGGTAAATTAATATAATGGAATATTACTGAACTGCATGAAATCAAGAATATGAAGAATCCAGGAAAACATGAATCAATGCAGAGAAAGCAAAAAGAATAAGGAGAAAAATATTCAAATATTCATATTGTCATCAAAGTAAGAAGAAAGAAAGAGAGGAGGGGTGAAAGAAGGGAAAGGGGAATGAAATGAAAAGAAAGAAACAATGATGCCTAATCATCTTGACAAAGTATGGCTCTAGGGAAAAGCTGAAAAAATTTACCTTTCATTGCAGAGGTATAGGACTACAAGTGTGGAACCTTGTCTACATATACTGTTAGACACAGCTGATGTGTTGGTTAATTCTATCGAACTACTTTTTTTAACCTATTTTCTTTTAAAATCTTTATTACAAAAAATGGGTCAATGGGTAGGGGAGGAAGAGGAGGGATAGATTTCAAAAGCAATGTGACATAAAAACTAAAAATAGCCATAAAAACAAGATCAAGTTTTTAAAAACTGAATGTTCTTTCTCTTCATCACCTAAACAGGGTTCATTCTCATAAATCAGGGGTTCTTGGGATCTATGAACTTTTAAAAAATATATTTTGATAACTGCATTTCAAAATAATTGTTTTCCTTTGTAATCCTGTATATTTTATGCATTTAAAAACATTACTATGAGAAAGGGTCCATATGTTTCATCAGACTATCAAAGGGGTCCATGACACAAAAAGACCTCTGCTACACAGTACATGTATAGTAGGTATTAAATAATAAAAATAAATATTCGCTGAATGAATTAAATGGGAGAGCTAGAGCTAAAAAATTTTTTTTCCTCTAGTTTTCCCTTTTATTTTCTACCTTTCTCATCACTTTGGGGGATAAGGGCAGAGTAAGATAGGTTACAGGGAGATTCTTTCAAAACAATTTTTTCTAAGTGATAAAATAAATGCTCTTTCCAAGTAAACTTTCTTTTTGAATTTAAGTTTCCCGGAGGACAGTGTTACTACACATTAATACTATCAATTTGAGAGCATAACTTTATAAAGTCAATGAAGAAAACTTTCCTTGGCACCAAATTTAAACCTTTTCTTTTTGGGTGTCTCATTCACTGCTATTTATGGTAAACAAGATGCCCATAGTGAACTGAAATTTGTGCAAAGTTGTACTTGGACACCATTCACAATACCAATCATGAATAAAATTTATTGATGTGATTTGCCCAACCAGAATGAATAAGCATTATCTTTTCCCTTTGGAGATACACTAACCTAACTCAAGTGTGTAGATGGCAAGCAGGAAAGGAAGAAAAAAGAACAGATTCATATTCAACAAAAAATGATGAAACTGCACTAACAAGATCCATTACAAATTCATGTGACATAATCTCAAGTGGGCTCTCACTGCTACAGGGCAATGCTTTTACACATCTCTAATCCACTATCCCACTCAACAGAGTAGCTTTTCCAGACCTTTTTATCCCTCTTCAAACTTCTACCATGGATCCCCCTTTCCCAACCCTCTCAGCTGAGAACCTTGCCTCATATTTCACCAAAAATAAAATTGAGGCTAATGACTGAGAGGTTCCTCTTCTCCTCTCTTCCTCAACTCACATCTCCTAAGATGCCTTCTGCCACTTACCTCCACTTTCACCCTCGTCTCACTTAATGAGATGGCCCTTCTCCTTGTCAAGGCAATCAAGTGATCCCCTTCCATCCCTTCTCCAGCAGATTGCTCCTTCTTTCATCTCTAGTTTCTCCTTGACTATTGGTTCCTTTCCTACTTCCTATAAACATGCTCATGTCTCTCCCATACTAAAAAAAAAAACCAAACAAAAAACAAAACAAAAAAAAACCTCACTCTGATCCATTCATCCCCATTAGCTATTTTTTTTTCTTTTGGTGAGGCAATTGGGGTTAAGTGACTTGCCCAAGGTCACACAGCTAGTTAAGTGTCAAGTGTCTGAGGCCAGTTTTGAACTCTGGTCTTCCTGATTCCAAGGCTGGAGCTCTATCCACTGTGCCACCTAGATGACCCTCTCCCGCATTAGCTATTGTGCTATATGTTTTCTCCCTTTTGTGCATAAACTCCTTTTGAAGGCCTTCTAGGGTAAAGCCAAGATGGCAGAGTAAAGGCAAGGTCTCATCTGGACTTTTCCTAATTCCCCTCCAAATAACTTTAATGCCTCAAGATGAATTCTGGAGTGGCAGAACCAACAAAAGGACAGAGTAAAACAATTTTCTAGCCCAACACAACTTAGAAGGTCAGCAAGAAAGGTCTGTCTCACTGGGGTGAGAGTAGAGCACAGTCTAGCATGGGCCATGCCCTGGCAAGCCAGTATGGGCTGGGGAGAGGATGGGGACTGAATTGGCAGCAGAGATTTCTGGAGCTCTCAGTCCACAGATGCTAAGGGGGTCAGATAACTGAACAGAAGGATACTACAGGAGACCCTTTGCTGGCATTGGGTGCAAGGCTCTGTTGTACTACCCAAACATGGTTTCAAGTTGCAGTCCCCAGGTGAAAAGGAGCACTAGCATATTAGATCATGCCACAGGGCAGTGGGGACCTTGGCCACAGTTCCAGGGCAGAAAAGAGTACGTGGGGTCACTCACCAAACAAAGCACAGGCCAGGAGAGCAGTAACCACACATTTCCTTAGATCATACCATTCTGGAAGAACTGAAAACTTACAGATACCCAGAACTTACTCTGAAAACAACAGAACGAAAAACTTGAAGCTTGGGATAGTGCCTGTTCCACCCAGTGAGTAGAGTCCAATTTTTAACATAAAGTTAAAAGTCAAGAAATAGACTGGAAAAAATAAGCAAATAGAAAAAAAAGAAAGGGAACATGTTATGATGTTACAAGTTACTACGGTGACAGGGAAGATCAAAACACAAACTCAGAAGAAGACAACATTGTCAAAACAGCTACATCCAAAGCCTCAAAGAAAAATGCAAACTGGTCTTTGGCCACAAAAGAATTCTTGGAAGATCTCAAAAAAGGATGCTAAAAATCAAATAAGAGAGGTAGAGGAAAAATTGGGAAAAGAAACAAGAGTGATGCAAGAAAATCATGAAAAAAAGAGTCAGCAGCTTGATAAAGGAGGCACAAAAAATAATGAAGAAAAT